AAATAGTAATACTTATTTATAATATACTTATAATATTATTAAATACTAAAAATAAGTAGAATTATTAAAGTAATTAAACTTAATTAAATTCTTTTAAAAAGTTATATTTATTAACTTTAAGCTAAAACTTAATATAAAGTATATATATAAAAGTAGATTTCTATAAGAAGAAAAAATTAATATACCTCTATTAACATAAATTACTTAATTTTTATTAGCTATATAAACTTAAAATATTAAAGTTATTAATAATAATATATTAAATATACTAGCTATATTAAAATATTACTATTAAAAGCTATATTATTATTAAAATTAAAATTAAAACTAAATAATATAAATATATAATTTAGCTTTAATAAAATAATAAATATAAAAAATAATACTTAATTATTCTTATTATTTAAAGTATAAAGTATAACTAAAATTTTATTAATAGTAATTTAAATAGTAGGTATATTAATTTAAATATTAATTACTTATATTTTTTTCTATATTAAAAGTTAAATTTTATTAAAAAGCAGCTATATATAGCTAAAATAGAAAATTTATAAAGTAAGAATAATATATTTAAATTTATTATAGTTTTTATATTTTATATCTTCTTTTTAACTTTTTTAAAGTAATTTATTATTAGATATCTATAAACTTATTTTAATTTATTAAAGAAGTTTCTTATTATATAGATTATATTAATATAGTAATTTATAAATTAGAGAAGGATATTAAAAATTAAGAAATAAAAGATTAAATATATAGTAAATTAACTTCTATATTATTATAATATATATTTAGCTTAGTAATTAAATAAGTAATTTATACTCTACTATATAAGTTATAAAATATTATATATATTACTATCTATCTTATTTAATAACTAAAAGCTGCTACTTTTTTATAGAAATTTTTTTAAAAAGATTTATAAAAAGAAATTCTTATATAAATTATTTATAAAATTTATATTATACTTAACTTAAATAAATAGCTAATTTCCTATTATATTAACTATTATAGTAAAAAATTTAATATTATTACTATATTTAATTTAACTTCTTTAAATTACCTTAGCTAAAAAAAATAGCTTATTAACCTTAATAAAAATAGCTAGTCTATTTAGAGGAAATATACTAAATATAAATATCTTATAAAGGATATTACTATTATAATTAGAACTCTTTAAATTAAAAGTAAATATATAGGTATTTTTAGATAGTAGGTAAAATTATTCTATTAATATGTTACTAACTAAAATAAAAGTATTAATATTTAGGTTTATTTATAATAAAATAAAAAGTTTTTTAATACTTATAAATTAATTCTTCTTTAATTTGTAATTAGTATTTAAAATAATTAAGTTAGTATATATTTTTTTTATAGCTAAAGATTTCTTTTTTTATATTTACTTTATAAAAATAATAGAAATTATTAAGCTTTCTATATACTATTAGCTTTATATTTTATCTAAGTTAATTTTAATATTTTTATAAAGGAGATTATTTCTCTATAACTATAAAAAAGCAGTAGTTATTTAAAACTTATATATTTAAAGAAATATCCTTACTTTTACTAAGCTAGGTTTATTAATATTACTTTAAGATATATAAATATTCTTAATTACCTAAAGAAGTAAGTAAGAAAGTATTATAGTAACTAAATTATTTAAATTATTTAAAAATATAATAATAAAATCTTTTATATATTTCTAGTAATTAATATTTAATAGTATTTTATTATTAATAGTAAACTTTATAATATAGCTAAAAGAGATTTAAAGAGCTATTAGTCTCTCCTTAATAGGAGAGAGGCTATTAAGCTCCTTAGAATAATAATATTTATATATAATATTTATATTATTAACTAAATATACCTTTAGTATCTCTCTATTTTTAAAAACGCTGCAATACTTAAGGCAAATATCAGCCCCTATATTACCATCCTATAAAAGATACTTTTTATATTTCTAAAGAGCTATTATAGCTTATAGCAACATAGGGGTTAAGTATATTCTCTACTAAATAGTAGTAATCTTAACTAGAGGGCATTTTCTATAGTAGAAAATGCAGTAGGAAATAGATAATATCCTTTTATCTGTAAATCCCTTGTAGAATGACTTTAAAATCTCAACTTAGAGGGCAGACGAGACTTCTTTGCACTAGGATCTTCCTACCGATACGTCCTTCTTAGCGCGAAAGCAGGACTCCCGTTATTATAGAATCGCGTCGACGGACCGCTGCTGGAGTTGGACAGTCTCGTGCTGCTGCAGCCGAGGCCTTTTCCGAGAGCGTTCTGGCCCCGAGGGCGGTGGAGTTAGCAGTCCTTCCTGCCGTGGGCTGTGGCGTTTGCGGGAAGGCGGTGTCTGTGGAGAGGGAAGGCTGGCTCAGGGGTGTTTGGTCGCCGTACAATTTCTGGAACGTCTGCCACTTGGGGAGCCTGATGGACTGGGAAGACGACCTCGCCCAAGCCCGCATCTGCCTCAATATTCTCTCCTTCTGCAGTACCACGGACTCGGTAGCACTCAAATTTCAAGACTGCCTCGTCCCTATCCACGACAAACTGTCATCTTACATCCAACCCACAACCAGTACTAGCACCTTCCCGAATCCGTCCTCCTTCGCCTACATCCTCAGAGTTCCGAAGACTGCCGGCGCCGAACGCGTTAGCCTGCCCTTGAAGCTCCTGATCATGTTGTGCCAGCCGTTCGGCAACATCAATGACAAGGGTGGCTCGAACGATGACCTCGGGGAGCGGCAAGGCTGGAGGCTCGAGAGCTCCTCGCCATTCCGGTGGGACCCCCGGGACCTCGGGATTGGCGAAACAGGGTTTATGGAGAGCGAGAATCGGTTCCTGGGCAGTGATGAACCGAGTGGATGGGCGGCAGTCGGGAGTGAAGATGAATCAGACGAGCTGGAGTGGGTGATGAGTTAGGTAGTGTCAAGAATCAAATATGCAATAGGGAATGGAGAGGGCAGAGGACAGACGGGATGTTAGGCAGTGGGTAGTTAGTAGTGATACTTATGTGACTTCTATTGATCTCTGCCTCTCTCTTGTATCTGTGGCCACACCATAGGCTACTATTTGTGCTCCTTAGTCGGTAATACTATTGACGAGTGTTGGTTGCTTTGGCGCAGTCGCTGCTACCCCTCAGCTATTAAGTTTCAGTGGCTGTAGACAATTCCGGATCCGGCGATCGTATTCCACATGTTGGGCTGAGGCGCTTGGAGATGTTAACACATGACGCTTATTTTCGAGTCATTAATTTGGGCCCACTCATAGCCCCCCGTTAAACCATCAGCAGCGAGCTCATTCCAAAGACTTTGCGCTTCCATACTGATCACTAATCATCTCAACATCTGCTTCCCCGTCCTTCTCTATCCGCGGCTTCAACCATCTCATATCCCTTACTCCGCGGACAGTATGGTCGAAAACCTCTATCGTTCGCCGCAGCAAATGATGGCTAGGTGATGGTTCGGTACCTCCTATTGAGTGGCGGCGTGCATAAATAGCGTTCTCTCCATCTGCCCCGGCCCCTCGCAAACCGGAAGTCCGCAGTCCAGTGGCCTCGTTCGCTGGCGACTTTCTCCGGTAGTCCAATTTTGGGGTCGACGTTGAGATCTTCCGCCGATCTCTGCCGCTAGTCCCCCTCCGTTTACCCCGCCCTCTCTCGCCCAGCTGTTCTGACGACATATGAGAGTTCAGGAACCCTGGTAGAATCGAGTCCTCCATAAGCTGATGGACGATATCGACGGCATCGTCTAGTTCCGATGGGTGTGGAAGAAAATCGGAACTGAACCCGAGAAGTCGCTTCTTGACGTCAGATGGAAGGTTGACTTCGCGATGTCCATGGGAAACAATATAAGTGCTCAGAAGACCTTCCCATAGGGCCTGGAGGTAATCGTAATGACACCGTAAAGATGCCCGGGGGATTCGGTTGCCCCCGACTATCTCTGCGTAACAAACACGGTATCTCGACGCGTCTTGGACGAATTGTAGGTTTTCCAGGCAATGATTTCTTGAAAGATAGGCTGTGAAATCGTTCAATCTCCATGGGTCTGGGGATAAGTCGGAGATAATGCTAGCCAATGATGACATTATAAGATATAGCCTTCGTACAAGAGCTGGTAACCGGTAGTGTGGCCCTGTCGCGTCTTGGCCCTTACCTTCTTATACACACACACACACAATTTATTTCGCCCGGTGGCTTATAACCAATAGGGCAATTGGGATGGAAATGCGCTTGTCTCGCCACATGGTCGAGACGAACTCCGACTCCTTTGATTGGAGGAATGTGGTTCGCTCCTCGGCCAAAAACTCCAGCTCATCTGATTGGACGTTCGCCAACCCCTGAACGGGGGCGTCGTTCTGGTGCCGGGTCCGTCAAGCTTCCAAAACACTTCGTGGGAAGCTTCAACAAGCGCGAGGAAGAAGCAGGCAGCAACCAGGCCGGTATTATGGTCGGAATTAAGAGCGGCAAGGCCCGAAATGAAGCCGTAAATTGTCGATCTTCAGGAACATGCATCATTAGTCGAGCAATCGTCACATGGATTAAGAGGTGGGGTGTCCTGGAAGCCTGCAGGCCTGCCTCACCACTGTGTCACGGTTCTCCCGCCCTTTGTTTAGCCAAGACGATGTCTTTTTCGCTACTCCAGAAACTTGGGCGTTCTTGACCCGGCCATGAGCACGACGGGATCAGTCGCGGCTGCGTCAACGCTCGCAATACCGAAAGAGCTTCCACCCTCTTTCCCCAGTTCCTCGACGACGTGGCGACAGTTTGGGGATTCCATTGAAGCGCTTTGACTAATCAGTCGCTTTTCCCCCACATGCCGCCCCTCATTTTCCGGAGAACGCCGTCCGAGAGGCGAACAGGCCGTGTCACAACCTCCTACATGACTCAAAGAAGCCACCTCCGCAGAGGCTTCATGAGTCTTGGTGGCTGCCAAGGGCACATCCAGTCGTTGCTACAGTGCGGACTAAAATGACCATGCTCTTTGGTGGACAGGAGCCAAAAACAATCCGCCGTTCCAGTCTCCTGAGTACAAAAAAGGAAAAGCTCTAATGGATTTATATGTCTCAGTGCCCATAAGCTATACCCGTAAGTAGAGTCCGTTGCGATTTTCATAGTTTGAATAGGGTGGCTCAGAACCGCAGCTTGTTTCGGCCTGAACCATGGATCAATGAAGATGTTCCTGTACTTCGTGGGGCGGCTTCTACTTGGTTAGTTCATGAAATGGCACATTGATGTGTGTAAAAAGTCTTAATTTTTGTCTAATAGAGGGCTGGAAGCGACTCTCTTATACGCAGATACCAGTCATCTAGGGGCTAGACTAGGGTCCTTGAGACTGTAGATCTGACGGCCTTGAAGCCGGTTTCCTGGTATTGAGACCAGCTAGCTAGGGCTTGGGGCCATCTAGCTAGGACTTCAGGCGTTTCGGCTGTTTGAGATAGGTATGACTATCTGATAGATACCTGATACATGCCTGATGGATGTGACATCATCCTCCATATGACCCGACACTTTCACACGCGGGCGGGTAGCATCAGATGCCCAGTGTGCTCGTTCAAGGTGGCACCTTCAGCTAACTGGAGGCACCGGCAGCGTTGGTCGGCTCTGGATGAACTTAAAGAGTCATTATCTGCCTGCTGGTGAGGCTGAACAGAAGTCGATGATCCCGATGAAACAAGTTTTCGAGTGAAAGTGTTGCTTTCGACGCAGGATAGAGCCTCCTTCCTCCTATCAGGGTTTTAATAAGAGCTAGAAATATGAGCTAGGGGGAGACATACAGTACAGATTCGATCAAACAATGCGAATTAAGATGGTCGAGGACGACTGCGACTAGTTGGCCGTGGGGGAACATCAGCGGGTCAAAATATGATGTAGCCGAATCCCGTTGTCCTTGGATCCTGTGGGAGATGGAGTTGGCTCATTCGAACAGCATTCGGTAATGTTGAGATACGATGGCTGAGGGAGAATGCCGGAAGGTTCATCAACAACCTGCATGCAGTTGCACTCCCTATGCCGAACGAGAACCAGCAGCCTGTTAAGCACCACGAATTCCATCTTAAGCTTGATGCTGTAAACCACCGGCTTGTATGTCGTTGCAATCTGGAAGTGATCCAGATACTGAGTGATGATGAGGCTTATGTCAAGAAACACAACTAGGATGTTGACGATGATGAGGTGTCGGATGACTTTGCGAGCCGCGATCTTTTTTATGGCGAAGATGGGCTTCAGTCCATGGGATGCTTCCCATATATAAAGACCGGAGATGATGGACTCTTGGATGGAGAACCCCGCGAGTTGGATACGCTCGTAGATATCGAATGCGGGAAGAAACTGATTGGATCTCCGAGTGTTACTGCCGAGAAATAAGACAGTAACTGGGATATGAAGGATGCAGAAATTGATAATAATCATAATCAGCACCCAGCGGATCCTTGATCTGTCCGAAATGACGAGATGGAGGCGCGAGTAGAGAACAACAGACTGGCCAGTTACCATGCCGTACCAGCCGATGCACGTCAAAACAGCCAGCGGAAAATTTGGCCCAAGACTGTAGTAGCGCAGCAACACCACTATCGAATGAAGCACAATTCCCAGTGTCGCCGTAACCATGCTCCAAAAATAGAGGCCATCGTGGCGCTTAAATCGATAGAGCAGCGAGATGAGGATATCGATACAGTTATAACAAGCGATTGCGAAAAAGCCGGCAATTATCATATCGACCGGCACCGACGCCGAGATAGGGCCTGTTTCCCCAGCCATGTTGGCTGCCGTGGGACCTAGATAGGGAGGACCAAGCTGGTCATACCATAATGGGGAGATTGGCCCGAAAAAAAATTGAATTAGAAGTGACGGAGGAAGAGTTGTTGTCAATGGAGGCGAAGGAATGCAGTTCGGGTGCGCTGCCCGAGCAATGGTATAAGGAACCGTCTTAAAAGTCCCTCGGAGCGCCTCCTGCCCTCCCAAACTCCCAAACCGTTGGGATCGAATTGCAACAGTACCGGGCTCCCCGAACATGGGAGATTATTAGCTCGGGATCAAGTTCTTGTCATTCGTGGCTGAAGCCATTGGTCAGCTTGACAACCCCCTGCATGAGGCAGCTTGGTCTGACTGGCAGGAGGGGTAAAAAAAATAGCAAGCCTGACACGTTCATGGAGGCGTCGGGGACAACGGTGTCATTTAACTAGGCCACGGGGAGCTTTGGTTCAAGCCACTCTGAGACGAAAAACAAAGGTTTGATGCGAATTTATCCAGGCTAAAGCGGTATTTTCCGCCGGACGAGGCTCCCGTTTCTTTAACTTTTGGCTAAGGCTGTGGCTTTTGGTCGTGGAGATGAAAAGTGAGCTTGCCTCGCCAATGGGAGGAGAAGTCGGCCCTTTCTTGAATCCGCTTTTTAAGCGAAGTTGATGTGTTAGACTAGACTAAAACAGACGAGTGTGCCACAGTGGCGCAAGACAAATTCATCCTATGTCACTGTCTGTCATGAAGGTTGCCATCTTGAGGCCCATCAGACCACAGTGTGTCTCCAACTTGCCACCTCCCTGCACGAGCTGACGCGGCGACGCAAGTGGTCCTAAAAGAGCTTGGAGTGTGTTTGCTACCAGAATCTTGCCCCCCAATAGGGTGGGTTCACGATGGCACGGAGGTGGGAAGGCATTTCAGAACCTGGTAAGCATAGCATTTTGTTTGTTTGTATATTTTTCGTCCAGGGGGCCGTGAGGCCCGTAAAAGTCCCCTATTGGGGCACAGGGCGTGCTGGGCTAAACTATCTACAAATTGCTGCCGCATTGGACCTTACTCAGACCATCTGCAAGGCCTCTTGGATCGGAGTCGCATACGTGCTCAGTACCTCCAAAAGGCACTTTTCTACTCGTAGCGACCCCTACAGTAGTTTCCAAGCTAAGTTCCCATGCAACAGCCACTCCATCTATTTCATCAGCATATCATCGGCTCAAAGGCGCATTGTTTCAAGAGGGCATCCCGTCAGCGGAAACAGATCCCTCTCCAGCCGAGAATTCTCTTGCATAGGTAGATCAAGTAGCTTTCCATACCCTCAGGTAGGAAATCTATGTCCTCCAAGGTCGCCAGCAGCTGCGACCACGGCCATGCATCCTCGGGGAAAACCCTCGCGGGAGAAAACCCCAAGGCGGCCAGAACGCTGCTTTGCGGGGGAAAACAATCACATCCTACTACTGAGTGCACCTGAAACTATAAAGGCAGAAAGGGAATGATATTCTACATCTCTATTCCACTTTAGAACTAGGGGTTCATTTAAGCTCTGCTATTTGGATGGATATAAGCTACAGTGGGGTGTCAATTCCCGGTAGCAAGTAAAGGGAACGGGGCGAGTAGGGACTCCTGTCGGGCTCCAATGCGCCGTCAGCCCACATGGCAAGGATAACATCGAGCCGAAATGTGACCTCTTTCCGGATTCCAAAGTTTGGGTGCCTGCGCAGAGATGAGATGGCCCTCAGATGCCGCTTATTAGCATCCCAGGCATGCAAGAGATGGGAGCGGTTGAGCTGGGGTACAAAGGCGCGTTGGCGATTTTGATCCATCCCCGCCAGGTCTTTCAACATGCCTTCGTCAAAGGCAAGGAGAGGGAGGTGGCCTGAGCTGAAGAGCTGGTAATTGCTGAACATGACCCCGAAGAGGTCCTTGCTGCAATTGTACGCCTTGGCACAGATAATGCCGGGCGACCTAGCATCCGGGTGGCCTGGGTTGGGGACCCGGCTTGGCCTCGCCTTAGCATAGTAGGTCCCTGTATTGCGGAGGAGGAAAGAACGGTAGTATTTAGCGTCAAGCGGGGCTTCTGGGACCAGATCTTGGAGGCTCTTATGAAGATGACGGCAGCTAATGCATTTACAGGGCTTATATTGGGTGCCAAGGTGAGGTAGGGTGAGGTGGCGTTGCCGAATTAGTGAGAAGAAATAGGTTGATAGTGGCTGGTGATTGCACCCTCAGCCACGAAAATACCCTACAGCCAGACTAATAGTCTGACTATTAGTCTGGAATTCTTAGACTGGGACCACTGGTCAGTCCGGACAAGTCAGACTGGACTATCGGTCTGGCCCGAGAGATACAGACTAGACTAACAGTCCGCGGACTATTGGTCTGGACTATGGTCTGGACTAATAGTCCGCTTAATGGTCTGGACTATTGCGAGCGCTGATCTAGGGGGTTCCCCCAGGAGAGTTTAATAGCAGGTATACGGTATTTACCATTCGGGCTGGATATTCAGCCGTTAAGTCCCTTGCCTTGGCAACTTAACGGGTGTTCGAAGTATTTTAATAACGTACTCTTACACTTTCGAGACTCGAATATAACTAACCTTAGGACCTGTACTAAAAGCACAACCGCATTGCCCTTAAGCTAGGTTCTAATGCTTGAGAGCCTTGGATTATTACCAGCCCGAGCCTGCTATCCTCTGCAAACGATGCGGCTTTGCGTCACAACAATCCCAGCAATCTACATGGGGCTCCTATTTTGGAGATTTTAACAGTATCTGAGAACTGGCTGTTATTAAAACACCAGCTCTCCAGCCATCAACTATACTTTGTTATGTTAATCATTCTAAGCGCCACGCATCACCTAACTTAACTCACTCACCTTCAGTAAGTGACACGCCTGACCGCTCTGCTAACATAGACCCCGATCTTATCCCTTAGGAAACTGTCCAAGCCTACCCTATACCCCTGTATAGGCTAGGTGGTGACTTAACTATTATATACAATATCTTTAGAACTACAAATTCCAAAATGGACGTTGATTCGCAAGATCTCGCGCACAATTCATATAATAGCTGTGAACTTGTTAGCTGCCTGATGAATTGATAAATGAGTTTTGAAACCGATATCTGTCTGAATTGGCATAGCTTACAGCCTACCTAGCAATTGTCTCAGTCTGTTTCAGGCGGGCTAAGGACACCACATCACTCTAGATTCCTTAAGATCTCGTCTGCCCTTGCTAGAGCTCTTCTAATCGCGCAGGGGAAGTAAAATGGTCCTGGCGTATTTTAAGGAATATGACATAAGGGCTATAACATTGAACTCATTAGCTCCCACATTGCGTTTAAATCCAAGTGCCACTCAGCTGCCACTGAGGCCATGTGGGACCTGGACTGACATGTAGTGCGTTAAGTGGTGCAGGGTGGTCGTTTAGCCCAAGGCTAAATATATCCGATATAAGATATATAGTGATGCGTGCAGCTAGCCGTATCCTCGGGATGCCTGGCAAGCCAGGCATCTACTGAGCAGTTAGCCGTCATATAAGACAATCTGCTCAGCTTATCCATAGACAAGACATCTTACATTCTACATTCAACCTGACCCCCATGGTCCACATGACTTACGCATCATATAGCCGCTTGATGATGCAGCCAATTTAGGTTGAGAGGCGCTCATTTGGCACCTGAGTTAGCTGAAGCGAACCTACGAGATAAGTATAACATTGTCTATAAGACTAAGAGGAATAATACTATTTTTACTAAAAGGATAAAAGATGCGCCAGTTAGATTATCCCAGTTGAGATCATCTAAGAATAGCAAGATAAGATCTGCTAGTTAGTATTCTTGTGCAGAAGCCATCCTTCTTAACTATGATTAAACTATGAACTTCTTTAAAAGGAAGCTAAGCCGGTATTTGCCGGCCTAAAGAAATCCCCTGCTTAACCTTCTATGCAAATTGCACCTACCGTAGCTAATACGGGAGAAAATAAGCGGGGGACAACATTTGACGCCATTTTCAGTCTCCCAGAACTCCGCCACCCCGATTTATTCATTCTTATGGATGATGAGGGAACTGCGGTGCAGGATCACAACTATATTCTTAGCTGAGAATCTCAATCCATCGGGCTTTTGAAAACCCTTTCTCCACACCCAACGAAAAGACCAGGGCCGCCCAGCCGCCAGCTAGAGACACAAAATGTAAGATGTTGCTAAGGGCGCCACCATACGGCCATATCCCGCCCGATGGCAAACTGCAGATGCACAGGATCAGATGGAACGCATCTTTGCGCGTTACCAGCAGGTTATGAGCTCACCGACTCTAGAAGCTATCACCAACGTCCGCAACGTCATTGCTGAAGCAGCCCTCATGAACCGAGAACGTGAGGTCATCAGGGTAGACCGGCTTAGCCGCATAGAGAAATATGGCAAGAGGAAGAGACCCGGCGCCCGGGTGAGGCCACGCGGTGATTTCATCACAAGTGTTGGATTTCCTGATATTCAGGCTCAACACGAGGCAGAATTAGCAGCCGCAGAGGTCAAGGAACAGCGTTCACAACTGCGATCAACCCGGACTATTATTCTTCAAGAGATGAAGGCGCTGAAGGCGCGCTGGAGAGAAGAAAACGAGTCACATGTATCCTCGGCGCTGCCAAGACTAACCTGGAATCAGTGGCTCGATGAGACCGAAAACTGCTCCCGATTTCTAGACCTCGAGACTTAAAGGAAGAACATAAAGATGTTATCAGTCAAACACCAAAGAGGGCATTTCTAGAAGCCCAAGAACAGGCCCAACGGGCTTCAAGACCGATCATTGCGATGGACCAAAGTGCGTGGCCGGACAGCGACGATGAGGTCACATTTCGAGGCCTCGGGCCGTTCCAAGACGACAATGATGATATTGATCTCATCGGGCTCGATGAGCAAGGCGGCGATGATGTTGTGGGCTTAGGAACGTCGTTGGGGATAACCCCGCCGCCCTTGGATCCAGCTGATGGCTCGGGTGACGATAACCTCACATTACCACAACTTCCCGTCACAACACCAAGGATATCGGGTTATCAGCGTGTCAAGAACGCCATGAGGGAGTTGCGTAAGCAACAGGCTATTCATGCTGCGAGGGCAACATCATCATAACAGGGCCATAACGGGCAGCTCGAATAGGCCAATAGGAACGGGCGGCTCAATTGAAGCCAAAATGCGACTTCTACTATTTCTTTCAAATATCATCATTTTTTTCTATTTCGAGGCTTTCCAACGAGCCACATTACAGTCATATTCCTTCCAAATTGACTGTCGCAAAGTCTGAAATATCATGATCTTGAAATAGTCGATTTCACCGCATTAAGGGATAAAAAGTGGGTGACAACGATTTTTGGGGATGACAAGGGTTTTTAGGACCAACCTCGGGACGAGGTTGGTAGGCAGCTTGCCCCATAATGCCAACGGGTAATGGTATCTGCCTAGAAGCGATGTAATCACGATTCTGAGGCTCTGGGACACAGAAGCGGGTTTGAGTTTCAGCTTCATACTCGGACTTTTGCACTTCTTAACACCTTATGTGTGATTGTCGAGCGGGGTCATTGCTACTCTTAGTTATACCAGGCTTTGTTTGACCTTAACGTCTTTAAATCGCAATTGGAGAAACTCAGTGACCGACGTCAATCTACAGTGCTTTACGGCGCCTGACAGTTGTCTTCTGTACCTAATGCCCCACCATAGACTGGTGAATATGGGAGAACCTATCCCCTTGCGGCTTGGCAGAATCGATGATCCTCCGTAGTTCTTGCTTTTCTTCCAGTGTCAAATTAATGTACCTGGATGCCCAATTCTCTTCCAAACGGTTAGGTTTAGTCGTGCCAGGGATGGAGATCAGTCCTTGAGACGCGACCCAGGCCAGTGCAACCTGAGCCAGAGTGCAGCCTTTCCGAGAAGCGATTTTCTTGATCTCTTCCACAATAGCTCGATTTTTGGAGAAGTTCTCCCCCTGAAACTTGGGCACTGCGGGCCACGGCATTTTAGCATCCATTCAACTCAAATATCGCTAATCATATTAGGAGATTAACTTGCCTGTTCGGCGGAAATCGTCTGGCGCAAAGTCGTCAGGACTCTTGTATGGGAAATCATCAACCAGCCATCCATGGCCTAGGGGGCTGAAAGCGACGAAAGCTATGTCGAGTTCTTTCGCTGCATCGATTAAGCCACTAGACTCATGGAGGGTCTCGAAGGCCGAGTACTCTGCCTGAACAGCATCAATCTTGGCGACTACAATCGGTATTAGTAAAAACCCTTCTTGTAAAAGGAACAGAAATTACTTGAATTAGCCTTGCGAAGAGTCACAGCAGAGCACTCGGAGAGACCAATGTACTTGGTTTTTCCGGCTTTTCGGATCTCATCTAAGGCCGGAATAGACTCTTCGAGAGCGGTCTCTGTCATGATAGTATCAGCACAATATTGGCGATTATAATGAGGGCACGTCACGTACTCGGATCAATTCGGTGGAGATAGTAGAGGTCAGGCGCGAAGCCAAGCCTCTCGATAGTACCGTCAATATATTCCTTGATATGGGAGGCCGAGTTGGTGACTTTGCGCTCTCCACCAAAGACTTCAAAGCCACATTTCGAAGCGACTACCAGCCAGAAGCGTTTTTAGTGGTGGATTAAACGTGTATAATTGGATAGAATCACACTTACGAAAGATCTTGTCACGAACGTTGTACTTTCTAATAAAGTCTCCAAGGAGCTTTTCATTGACGCCAGCTTGATAGGCAACCTTGACCCGAAGGGTTAGTCTCCTTATGGCTCAAATAAAGAATCGAACCGCTGTTCACTCACAGCAGTATCCCAGAAGGTGCATCCTAGCTCGATTGCTTTCAAGAGTACAGGTTCAGCTTCTTCGAGACTGAGATTGCTTCCCATAGCGTGGCTAATGCCCATCGCGCCGAACCCAGGGGATGGGACTTGAATGTCACTGAAGGGGAGCGTCTTGGCCATTTTGTCTCAGCTTGTGGAATCAAGGGGTCGAAAATATGATTTTTAGTGTGTCGGTTTATTGATGAAAGGTCTCTGACGCATCCGGATATCCTTCTTTTATAAGTATCGCTCAAGAGCTGTTTTGATTGTGCCTCTTGACGTGGCCCTACAGGCTTTGCCACCAGCAATTCTCTCTCATAGATGAGCTTAGGTTCGGAGCCAAGGAACGGACTTAAGCTTAAGTCCTGCGACTTCGGTCTTATACCTTCGAGATGTTGTACAGGGGCACGTATTTTGAGATGGATGAGACACAGTACCAACTGTACATTCTAGTCTCCACTTTTTCTTAGACGCGTTGACATCGTGGAGGTTCGGAGCTCTGGTTGAGACTTGCCGATAACAACACCCCTATGGTGGCCCCATAATGCTAGGGTTTACGTAGCCGTATTGGCAAGGGGTTGTTAATGAATGGGTCATAGGGGCGATGTGTCGTCTCCGCCAAACCAGCCTCGGGCGGTCTCGATATGTGCCGTAGCAAGTGATGTACCTCGTCAGGAGTTCGGGTTTGTCATGCTGGACGGGGTGACCGTCCGGACCGAACTCATGATGATTGAGAAGCTAGAACGAATATAGTCTAGTGGCGCGTAATCCGGTTGCATTTAGGAAGAAAACCCAAAAAGTAAAAGCGAGTGCCGCCGAGTGGGGAAGATCAGGAGACTTGAACCGACGCCGTAAAGACCAACAGCCCCCACGGTCGGAGGCGAAGGAGTGTTGGGAGCGTCATGCTCATGCTCTCGGCACCGCATCTTGGTAGTCGCGCGTCATCCAGTTGCATTAGCGAGGAAACCCAAAAAGTAGAAGCCTTGAGTGCCGCAGAGTGAAGGAGCCTCATGCATCTTGGGCGGTCTGAGTCGCGGAGGTATTCCGTAGTGCTCGAAGATATGCTTGTACTGGGCCTCGAGGAGAGGGTTTGTGATAGTAGTAGCGGGGATGGGGTCGCGGTCGTTGATGGCGATTGTAACGTTCCACCTGCGACGGCGTTGTGACTCTCGATTTTTGGCCCTTCAGTTTCTTTTGTTCGTGCTTCACATGTTGCTGTTGCCCTTCCTCTCGTGCCTAATGCGAGCGCACGTAGACGACATCCATCTCCCAGTCCCGTGTCGCTGAGCCCGTTTGTCCATTGACTACATATTCTACGTCGGGTATTGCCTAGCGTGTCTTGTTGATGGGCGAGAGGAAAGGCTTAAGCCTAAGCCTGGAGTCGCGATATTTCATTCAGCTCTTCTGGTCGTTTTTGTGGTGGGCGGACTGCTTACGGGAGGGAGGGTAGGGCCGAACCAGGATCAAGAAGAAGACTATTTCCTCTTTCGGATATGTTGCTACGTCAGACGAGGCAACATGGCCAAGTCTCAAGCTTCCGTCGCTGAGGAGTCAACCTAGTAGAGTGGGGACCCACAACTTCGTCCCCTCACAACTTGGGCACCTCCGCCCCGACCTTCCTACATCACAACACTCACCTGTAGCTCGGCTATTTCATCGCCATTTTAAGTCCAAATCGATCAATTTTTTTTGAAGATATCTGTCAGAACGCTAGCGTGGCACTTAGATGACTTGATCGTGTGTATTGTGTGTGTCGCCAGGAGGTCTCCTGGCTGTGACCGCGTAAGTATTACAATCACCACTAAAAGTGGGGGCCTATAGCATCTGCACCAATAGGCGTTCTCAACTCTAGAGATCGCCACGTAACCACCCGATTAGATGCTTTATATATAATCCAATCTAATACACCTCTTTAGCTTGAGGGTATTGCCGTTAAGCTGTGCTTTTTATTCTTCTTTAGTTATTCTAATTAATTAGAGAGATTAGCTAGCTTAAGCTACTAGGTAGATTTAGTAAATATCTATTCTAGTAGGCTTTTTATTAAGCTGTTAGTAAGTAATTATATTAATAAAATATAAATTACTTTAATTTTTTTCTTTAATATCTCTTATCTAAGCTAGTAATTATAAATATTAATATATTATAACTTTATTTATAGCTATATTAGCTTTACTATAATAAGTTAGATAGTTTATTTATTATTATATTTAATAGTAACTTTTAAGAGTAAGATAATTACTTAGTAAGTAGTTAGTAACTTTTAGTATTAAAATAAGTCTATTTATAAAAAGAGCTTTTTTAGTAGCTTAAAATAAAATAAGTAGCTTAGCTTTAATTATTAATATTATAATTATATTCTACTTATTTACTCTCTATAATATAATTTCTTTAAATAGCTTTATAATAAAAACTTATAAGTTTTAATAGTTTATTAAGTTATTTATAAAGCTTATATTAAAAGCTACTTATAAGCTATCTTTTTTATATCTAGAAATTATATTATATTTAAGAAAAAGATTATATATTTTAATAAGATATTATAAAGCTTAATTAGCTACTTAATAATATTATAACTTTAAATTTTAATTAAATTTAGCTAGCTAGCTTACTATAAAAGCTATATTTAATTAAGTTATTATAGCTATATATATAATTATTCTAACTTTATATTAGTAAAAATTAATATTTTTAAAGCTAGTAATTTTTTTATAAAATAATAATTTTTTTTATATTATAAAAGTTTTTACTTATAATTTTAATATATAATTAGTAAGCAGTTAATATATCTTATTAATATAAAAGAATTTTAAAAGCTATAAATAATAATTTTTATAATTTTAAATTACTTTAATTTTTAAAAATTATTATAAAAACTTATCTTTTTTTAAATAATAGATGTTTTATAGATTTTTTATTAGTAATATTTTTTAAGATTTAATTTATTTTAAAAAGTAAAGAATATAATTATCTATATAAAAAAAGAAAATAATATTCTTATAAAGTTAATAGTAGTTTTTACTAGGTATTTAATAAAAGCCTACTTATAATAAGTTTTTTTTAAAGTACTTTTACTATAAAAAAGATAATTATTTAAGATTATAAAGAGTTTTTTATAGCTTTAAAATTATTTCTAGCTTTTAATATTTTCTAGGTATTTTTATATAAATCTCTTTATTAAGCTTTATATATATAAAGATATTAACTATATTATATTATAATATATTATAGTTAAAGTAATTAGCTAAAGCTATAAGAATTTTAAATAATATACCTATTAAAGTTATTATATAAGTTTCTTAGCTATTAATTACTTACTAGTTATTATATATTATAAAATATATTTTAATTTTTAGGAATTTTCTATACTTATTAAGCTTATAAATATAAATTAAGTAGTAGTTAAATACTTAATAACTTTTTACTATAAATTTAGTAACTTTAATTTATAATTATTTAGTTTTTTTAGCTTTACTTAATATTATTAAATAGATTAAAGCTATATAGTAATCTTAAATAGTAGGAATAAATAATAAGAGCTATACCTAGTATTAAAAGAAATAGTAGCTAAATAATAAGATTATTACTTACTAGTTTCTATTTAAAGCTTCTATTTAACTCCTTTAACTTTAACTCTATTATTTATAGTTAATAATCTTATTATTTATAGTTAATAACCTTAAGATAGTAATTTTATTTTAAGTAATAGAATATAAAAAAGACTGATATCTCTTATTATTAAGAGACTAACTTCTCTTTTAATATTTATTTTATCTTAATAAATTTTATTTAAATAACTTGTTACTATATTAATTGCTATTAATTACAAGGCTCTTATTATATATATTTCTATATATTAGGGATATAAATCTAGATTCCAATATAATATAGAATTCTATTAGAATCTTTAAGATAAAAGAAAAAGATACAAGCTAGATAACTATTTAAAATTCCTTAAAAAAGAAACCTAAATTTATATTAATTGCTATTTAGTAACTAGCAATTAATTTTTAGTGTGAAATTAAAATATACTAATAAGCTATAGAGTAGCTAGTAATTAAAATTTAAATAGCTAGCAATTAGCAGTTTCTTTAATATAAAATATAAAGAAAATCTAAAAACTGGGAAATATACTAACCTTAATTATATAATTATAGTAATTTACTTATTTTTTACTTATATATTATAT